ACTCCTAGGAAACCCTGAGTCACAAGATGCTGGACCTCCTTGAGCCCTAAACCCTAAACCCCTAAGCCCCTAAACCCTAAACCCTAACTATGAACCGCTAGTATCAGCCCGTCCGGCCAGGCTCACAGGAAAGGGTCGGAGAGTTGTCTCGGCTGGCAGGGGTGTTGAGACGAGTCGGCTTCGGCTTTAGATTGGGGTTAGGGGCTGGGCTTCCTGCTTCTGGGCTCCTTTTAAGGGATTGAATTTAAGTTACCATAATAGGGATCTATAGTAAAAATAATATACCCTAAACCCTAAACCCTAAACCCTAACCCTAAACCCTTAAACCCCTAAACTCTTTGTTATGGTATCTTAAGATTAAGTCCCCAGTGCTTGGAAAGCCAAGCCTGTGCTTCTCAGGGGCCATGTGTGTTGAGTTTGACCCTTCTACGCCCCAAACCCCAAACCCTAAACCACTCCCTAAACCCTAAACCCCAAACCCTAAACCCTCTAACCCTAAACCCTAAACGTCCACCCTGAACTCAGGGTTGAGGGTTTTTTTACATGTAATCAGGACCGGGAGCAAGTAGCAATGGTTTGTGTCAGGGAAGGACCTTCGGAGATTTGTGTTTCGGTGCATTCAAAGGCTTCGACGATGGGCCCCTACGTAATATGTGTGAAGACAAAATTTTGGGTTTAGGGTTTAGGGTTTTTAGGGTTTAGGGTTCAGGGAAGGCCTACTGTAGTGTAAGCTGGACTATCCACGGAGAGTTAAGTCTATTTAGGCTATATTGATTTATAGCCTAGGCTTCATAGGCGTGTTGCCTGACCTAGAACAGATCCCCTAAACCCCAAACCCTAAACCCTAAACCCTAGACAGGATTCCCCTGTACCTGTGTAAGCTCAGTGAGCCGACCTTTGACTCGTGCTGCGAAGAAAGGGCCATTGCACATTAAAAAAAACCTAGACAGCAAAGTCGACATGGTGCCTTCAGCGCGGGGACAGTTCGGAGCAGGCCCGTCCGGCTTTTCGTGTAGGGTTCAGGGCCCAGGGTTTAGGCTTCAGGGTTTAGGTTTAGGGTTCAGGGTTTAGGGTTTAGGGTTTAGATCGGAATTTCACTGCAGTTTTGTTGGACGTGCTTTTGTTATCACGGTTTGATACGGGCTTTTGCGCGGGCTGTATCAGTCTTCTTAAGATTAGGGGTCCGTTTTCTCCAGGCTCCCTACCACCAAAGGCTGCAATCCCCAAAGCCCTCTTGCAATTGCAAAGGTCATGATATTACTTACGGTAAGCCCTGATGTCCAAAAGGAACGTGGCCTGCAAGGCCCCCAAACGTGGGGTTTTGGGGTTTAGGGTGTATAGAGTTTAATTTAAGGGCTATAAATAACTACCTAAAAACCCCCTATATTCGATAACCCCAAGCTCAAGTACCCTCAACAGCGGCCTTCTGTTGATGAATGTCATTGGCTGAAGTATGACACACCGTCTATGCTCTGACAACCCTAAACCCTAAACCCTGAACCCTAAGCCCTAAGCCCTACGACGGTTGCTATTGGTGTTGCTCTTGCTATCGTCATTGAACCCTCTTCTTTTTATAGCTTCCGCTGCATAGATCCCAAGCCCGAGGCCCGAAACCAATCGAAGCCCACCGTCGACATACTACTAAGTTAAACCCTAAGCCCCCAAACCCCTAAACCCTAGTCCCTACAGTAAAACCCTAAACCCCTAAACCCCTAAACCCTAGTCCCTACAGTAAAACCCTAAACCACTAAACCCCTAAACCCTACAGTAAAACCCTAAACCCCTAAACCCCTGAATCCCTAAACCCTAGTCTTAAATCTGGGTTTTTGTACTCTTCGCAGTTGGGGTTGGGATATTTGGAGCTCAAAGGGTATTGAAAGCTTTGAGGTTGGGCGGAGGTAGGAACTGAGGCTTCGTTTAGGGCTTAGGGTTTAGGGTTTAGGGTTAAGGGCTTAGGGTTTAGGGTTCAGGGCTCAGGGTTTAGGGTCTAGGGTTTGGGGTTTAGGGTGATTTGGTTTTCGTGGACGTACCTGCGATGCCAGCATATCCGTACCTAGTTCTCTAAAGTCGGGTCCCATTTTGGGTCCCAACAAAGTACGGGCCCCTTCTAAAAGGGATCCTCAAAGGGATCCTAATTTAGAGAGCTGCCCATGTAGGGTTCACCTTCAAGCTTCCAGCACGCTAAACCCTAAGCCCTAAACCTTATAAACCCTAAACTTAAACCCTAAACCCTAAACCCTATAAACCCTAAAGCCCTAAAACCCTAAAACCCTAAACCCATAAACTTCTCAGATGCTCCAAACGGTCTCCGGGCTGCGAACGCGCTCCTCCAGTCACTGGGGCGCAAGCGCGCCTGGTCCGAGGCGCGGGCAGTGGGAAGAGTTCGAACCCAAAGCAGTAGGGTTCAGGGTTTAGGGATGTTTAGGGGTTTAGGGTTTTAGGGCTTAGGGGTTTAGGGTTTACGGGTTTAGGGTTTAGGGGCTTAGGGTTTAGGATTTAGGGTTTAGGGGTTCAGTGTTGAGGGTTTAGGGTTATAGTGTAGACTGCGAATTGATAAATTGATAAACCCCAGCCCCCTTCCTCTAAATCGCCCATTTACCATGCCGATTGCCATTATCATCCTTGTATTCAGGAGGAGTGGGGTCTACATTACGAACCCCGGAGCCCTGAACCCTAAGACCCCCCGAAGAGCCCTGTGCCCCCGGCCTTTCACGCCGAAAGGTCCAGAAGCCAAACTGCTAACTCCCAAAGCCGTAGTCCGTAAGCCCCCCCAACGCAAGAGCCCTGTAGATTCTGTCAGATGTGCCATGAGAGAGTTTGCTGCTGTCTGGCTCGAAGTGGTTGAGCCGAGCTAGAGGTTTACGAATTTTAGGGCCTCTCGGGTGCAGGGTTTATATAAGCAACCCTAAAAAAAAAACCTAAACTAGGGCCCTCGTCTGTAGTTGCTGAGGCTTGAAGCCTAGCTTTGTGGTGGCTGCAGGGTCCATTCTTGAAGGTTCAGGGTATGTTGAGAGGAGTCGGAAAGGACTCTCACGTTTCCATGACTCTTCCTACACCTTCAATCACGACCTGGACCCTGAAGAACCCACCTTTTTAGGGTTCCTTATTATGCTTCTTTACATAAGTCCTTAAAACGGTAGGTTTTTTCAGGGTCCAGGGAGGGCCTGTGGCCCTCAACACTGGAAGTTTCTAGGGCAAGCAAACGAGGGCCCTGTTCGGCGACGAACCCGCGCCTCATGAACGTGCCTATCTGTGCCGCCCTTCTCTGGGTCGCCTGCGCAAGGGCGGAGCGGTTCCTCGTTCAGAACATGCGTCTTGCTTGGCTAGCAGAAGAGCTTTGATGTTATTTACCCATAGGCCCCTAAGTAGTTCCTTTTGGGATTACCTTATAGGATTCTAAATATACACCATAACAAGGAACTACTTAGGGGCCTATGGGTAGGGGTCTCCAAGTCCCTACGCTCTAAGCATAAAACAGCCCTGACGTAAGTGCCGAAGTTCGACACCCTTTTGTAGTGTAGGTCGGTTGAAGAAGCTTGCCTACCCCCCTTTCGACGCCGCCAGGTATGCGTCCAGCGACTGTAACCCGGAGATGATAGAGCGGACGCACATCGCGCTTGCCGTGGGTCCGTGTGTGGAGATGGGTGCGGAGCATGCCATGGTAGAGATCCTGGAGAACTCAAGTGCTGCAATTTTTTTCTTCGACGACCCCAACCTAACTTGCTCTGCCGTCCCGGTGCGCAATGAGACTTACCTCCTGAATCAGTGCGACAACGTCACCAGCACCACGGATCATCTTTGGAGACTGGGCCTCTTACTAGTATTTTTCCCGAGAAAACCTAGTAGAACAAGAAAATAAAAAAAATTCTTTTTTTAGAAAACCCTTGTAAAACGAAAAACAGAAGCATCGTTTTTTTCAGAAAACCCTTATCTGGCTGTTGTTTGAGCTCCTCACTGCTGAGAGAAATCTGGGAGGACCAAGGGCAAGGCGAGCTGGGATCTTTGCAAGGAACTACAGAGCCCTACTCTTGATGATATAAACCCTGCATTACCTGAAGGGCCCTAAACTATGGGAATTATGGTATATTCCTTATTCTGGGTAATGCAGGATTTGTATCATCAGCCCTAAGAAGACCCCAGTCTCCACTGCCCGGGAGCTGAAAATCCCCGGTCCCTGGGGCCCTAAGGGTTTGGGGTTTGGGGTTTAGGGTGTAGGGTTTGGGGTTTCGGGTTTAGGGTATCTAACTCCACAAACAGTCGCTGATGTAACCGATACCCGAGGACTCTGGAGACGTACGATGCGTATAATGAGACTTTTTACGGCATCTCAGCTCTCCAATGCCGAACTTTCAGACGTTTTGGACCGTTGTAAGGCAGTATGACCTTAAGATATCTTAAGACTAAACCCTTACTCAACCATCAACCCTAAACCCCAAACCCTACACCCTAAACCCTCAACCCTAAACCCCAAACCCTACACCCCAAACCCCTCAATCCGAAGTCCAAAACCCCCAAACTCCAAATCCCGAGCCATCCTCTGGAACCTTTAACCCATCTTTACCCGGGCATGGCGCCTAAGTCGCAAACCCAAAGCCCCAGACCAGACCCGACCCGAAGCCTGAATACTAAGCCCGATTATTCTATTAGGGTTTAGGGTTTAGGGTTTCGGATTGCTCTTTTGTGTTTTGGTTTGATTTTTTGAGAATTTTTTTTGGTGCAATTGGGGAATCAAGGCAATTCGGATACAAACTGCTCCGCAGCCGTGGACTTCGCAAGGATTGAGATGCTAGGCAATGCTAAGCACCAGAGGTTTAGGGTTTAGGGTTTAGGGTTCGGAGGGCGTAGGGTAAGTTTAGGGCTTGTTTGGGGTTTTAAGGGTGCCAGTTTGTGACGGTTGCTTTTCTGCTGCTCCGTTTTTGGTTTTGCACAGGACCCCAACCTTCCCTGGGCCAGAAGCCCTAGGCCCAAAAACTGTATAATGGTTGCAATGGCGACCCAGGATGCTTGGGTACTGCTGGGCCAGTGAGTTCTGCCGCCACGATGGAACCGGGGCTGCTCCAGCATTCCTCATGACTTGCAGTAAGTATTCGGGTCCCTAAACCCTCAACCCTAAACTCTAAACCCTAAATAAACCCTAAACTACGGTTTAGGGTCTAGTCTTCCTTCTGATCCAGGCACAGTTTAGAGGCTTAATGCTTGAAATAGGGGTCTTGAGGCATAGTACTGTTTGATAATAGTCGGAAACCCTAAGGAATAGTAATCGTACTGCTGATTGTGGTAGCTTCATAGATTGAGTGATATCAGGGTTTGTGGTTTGGGATTCAGGGCCAGGAGAGACTGTATAAGGCAAGTTTCATAGGAAAGCTTCCAAGTATTCGCAGCCCAGGAACGTGTCATCCAGGTAGCATGCAGTCACTATGCATCGACGGACGTGTCATCAACAGCAGGTTTGAGCCAGCGAAGAACTGCACTGGGGACCCTATATTGCATTGGTCCATAGACGTTGATACTTGCGACAATGGCCGCGAGGTCAGCGTTTCCGCCTGCCAAACAACAACATCCACCACTGTGGAGAACAGATCAGTTGAGCCAGAAGTCAACATGACCAACAACACTACGACAGGTGCGGCATCAGTGTCACGAGGTACGAGCATTGCCGCCGTCGTTTGGTCTACCTTGGCCTTGACCCTCCTGGGACAATGCTTCCTGTGGTAGATTGCTTAAAGCCGTAGAACCTAAAACCCTGTGGCGTAGCCACTAGCCAGAGACTCCAGCATCTGGATGTGTCGGTAATGTAGAAGCCTAAATAATTACCAATTTATTCTCAGGGTTCCTTAGTATATTTAAAGAGTGATTTAGACACTACTAAACTACAAGTGGTTCACAGCTCAGGATGCAAAAACAACATGGGCTTTTCATGAACCCCGCAAAACCGGGCCCTGCGGGCGACGCTTTCTGTAATTATACTTTGAAGGAGCCCCAAACCCATTCTAGTTATTAAGGCCCCTATAGTACATGCACTAACCATTTAAAACCCTAAACCCTAAACTATTTACCCTAGGCCACAAGCCTTAGACCCTAAACCTCCCCTTCGGTTTTCCAGTAGTACCCTTTTTGCCCTTTTTCTTTTCGGGTTGCCCTATGGAAACCAAGCAGTAAGAAAAAGGGTACCCTTATTATTCTTCTTCTTATTATTCTTACTGTTGGTATTATTGTTACTAGAATTATTCTTATTATTATTATTGTTACTGTTATTAAGGGGCTACTGGGGAACCTAGTCTCAGAGTATGTCTTGTGTAAAGAATTGGAGTCTCTCGGCAGCTTGGTCAAGCGTACCAGGGGTCTCACACCCTGAGTGCAGAAGATGTTCTCAGTCAAAAAAACATGGCATCGACTTTGTGATAACAGCCAGCAGTGCCTTTAGCTTCAGGGTGTAGGGTTTAGGGGTTTAGGGGTTTAGGGGTTTAGGGGTTTAGGGTTTGGGGGTTTAGGGTTTTAGGGTTTAGGGTTTAGGGTACTGCCAGCTTCAGAACAGTATTTTGAGCATCAGAAGGAGCAGCAGTGCGTTTAAACTGCTACTTGAGTCTAGGACATTGGGTAGTTTCCGTTATAGGAGCCTTATAGAAGGCCTATATATCTTATAGAAGCCTTATATTAGAAGCCCTACGTACCTAAACTCCCCACCCGAAGCTTCCTTTAGCTTAAGCGCAGCTCCGAGATGACCCTGAAACCCCGGCGCGGCGGCGCAGCACCGAACGCCTAAGCCCAAAAAGCCCTGAGCTCTAAACCCCACAGCCTAAAGCCTGAAGCCTAAACCCCTAAGCCTCCACTTCTAAACCCCAACCTGGACCCCTTTAAAGTATGTAAGATGATACCCTTTTGAGGGTCTTGGGCCATTATTTTACCTACTTTTGGGGGTTTAGGAAACCCCAAAGCTCGAAGTCCAAACTCTAAAACCCCGACGAAACAAAAACAGAAGCCCTATATACCCTAAACTCCCCACCTTTAGCTAAGCCAGGCACCCTCAACCCTAAACCCTATAAACCCTATAAGCCCTAAACCCTAGACCCTAAACCCTAAATCCTAAACCCTAAACCCTAAACAAAGCCTAAGCCAGGCACTGTCCCTACTCGCCGACCTTCCATCGCAGCGGCTGCAGCCCGACAAGTCGACCTGTTCCATCCTCCTGCGAACTTGCGCCCCGGATTTAGATTTAGGGTTCAGGGTTTAGAGGGTTCAGGGTTTGGAGGGTTTAGGGTTGAGAGGGTTTAGGGTTTAGAGGGTTCAGGGTTTAGAGGGTTCAGGGTTTGGAGGGTTCAGGGTTTAGAGGGTTTAGGGTTCAGGGCTTGGAGGGTTTAGGGTGTAGGGGTTTATGGTTTGTGGGTTTAGAGGTTTTTGAGTTTAGGGCCTATGGGTTCAGGGTTTAGAGGGTTTAGGGTTTAGGGGTTTAGCGTTTTTGAGTTTATAGAGGGTTTGGAGGGTTTAGGGTGTAGGGGTTCAGGGTTTTTGAGTTTAGGGCTTAGGGGTTCAGGGTTTAGGGGGTTTAGGGTTTAGGGTTTTTTTTGGGTTTAGGGGTTTTTGAGTTTAGGGCCTATAATTTCAGGGTTTAGAGCGTTTAGGGTTCAGGGTTTATGGGTTTAGGGTTTTTGGGTTTCGTAGGTTCAAGATGAAGTCAGGTGTGGCGTAAGGACGCTTCGGGATGAGGTTCGCAGATTTTTTGTGTTGAAGTGCTTGGGGAGGGCCAGGATGAGATTTGAAGATTTTGTGTTGTGGTCTCCTGCCGGTTCTTATGCCGTCTTCTGGGAAAGATACAGACTTGCAAATTAGATGTGGTTGTATTTGCATGAGCTCATATGCAGATGTATATGTGTAGACTGTTTATGCGCATGATGCGTATAGATTCATATTCATATGTATGTTCATGTATATATGTAAACTAGTTTGTCATATCTCCTGACCTTAAATCCTCGACACCCTAAACCCTAAGCCCTAAACCCTAAACCCTAAACCCTTAAACCCTAAAACCCCTAATCCCCAAAACCAAGCCCTAAACCCTAAACCCTAAGCCCTAAATCCTAAACCCTAAACCCTAAACCCTAAACCTTAAGCCCTAAGCCCTAAGCCCTAAGCCGTCTTTTGGGCCCTTTTCGGGGAGCCCCCAGAGGTTCGGAAGCGAGTCGCTGGCAGGCATCTTGGCTTCAGAGTTTAGGGTCGGGAGGAGTTTAGGGATAAGGGTTAAGAGGAGTTTAGGGTCGGGAGGAGTTTAGGGTTTAGGGTTAAGAGGAGTTTAGGGTCGGGAGGAGTTTAGGGTCTAGGGTTAAGAGGAGTTTAGGGTTTAGGGTTAAGAGGAGTTTAGGGTCTAGGGTTAAGAGGAGTTTAGGGTTAAGAGGAGTTTAGGGTCGGGAGGAGTTTAGGGTTTAGGGTTAAGAGGAGTTTAGGGTCTAGGGTTAAGAGGAGTTTAGGGTTAAGAGGAGTTTAGGGTTAAGAGGAGTTTAGGGTTTAGGGTTAAGAGGAGTTTAGGGTTTAGGGTCAAGTGGAAGTTCAGGGTTTGGGGGTTTAAGGGCTTAGGATTCAGGGGATTTAGGGTTGGAGGCTTTAAGGGTTTAGGTTTCAGGGGTTTAGGGTTTAGAAGGGGTTGGGTTCAGGCTGTCAGTTGTCGAGGGAGTCTTTAGTCTAGGGGTTCAGGGTTTAGAGTTGAGGCGTTCAAGGTTCAGAGGTTTGGGGTTTAGGGTTGAGGGGTTTTACGGTTTACGATTTTGGGTTTGAGGGGTTCAGGGTTTGGGGTTTTAGGGTTCGTCGCTGGGAGAAGCTCTAATGGAGGCCTGATGAGTAAGTATTCGTGTCTCCTATAACCCAAGTCTACTTGCGCATACTATGCCATACTTCAGCACTACTGTGGTCAATAAACCCCTAATATTGCGAGCTTCTTGGGGTCTGGGACGGGCTTCCAGGCTATGCTTTGGGCTTCACTTCTTCGGCTTAGGATTTATGTTCGTAGAAGCTCGGGCTGAGGCAAGAAACCCTTTAAGGAGCAGGGCCATTCCTTAGATCGTTGACGGGTAGCTTCGTGAGTAAGAGGTTTGTGAAGTCCCTGAACCTAAAACCCTAAACTCTATAAGCCCTAAACCCTATATAAACCCTAAACACTATAAACCCCAAGCCCTAAACCCTAAACCTGGGGGTTTGGAACGTTGGAATTTCCGGTCTACCCAGAGAGCCCAATACCTCTTAATTAAGGAATATATGCCTTAAATCATAATATTATAAGGTATAAGGGCCTTACAACTTAAGGTATATTCCTTAATTCAGGGGTGTTTGGCTCTCCGGGTAGCTGTCTGTGCCCAGTACGACCGAGTCCGTCCGCCGACCTGAAGCCTCGAACCCTCCTAGGCCCTAATCCACAAAGTGTTTAGGGTTGAGGGTTTAGGGTTCAGAGTTTAGGGTTTAGGGTTTAGGGTTTAGGATGTAGGGTTTAGGGTTTAGGGTTTAGGGTGTAGGGTTGAGGGTTTAGGGTTTAGGGCAAGCCAACCCTACATGAACCCCTAGCCGCGAAGCCAATCCCCCAAGCCTAAACCAAGAACCCAAACAAACCCTAAACTCTAAACCTCAGGGGCTCTTGAACTCAATCTCTCTTCTTTGTCACCTACATCCATGCCTGTGTTGGAGTGCTTTGTCGAATGTCTGTCTATTTTTTGTGGGTGTATGCCCTAAATGGGCGAGCCCCGGACCTGCTGCTGCGGAGAAAGGGTTACTGCATCTTAAAAAAGAAAACCTCAAGGACTTCCAAGATGCCGCGGGAGAAGTACAGTGTACAGGGAAGACCGTCATTCCGCCCCGGCCCATAGAGGGCGGCATTGGCATGCTGCAGGGCGCAAGGTATGCAGGCACTCGTGCAACCGAGGGCATTTCGAATCCAGCTGCAGCTGCACGTGATCGCCCCGGAGGTCGTCTACATGGCCAAAAGGTTTAGGGTTTAGGCTTTAGGGTTTAGGGCTTGGGGTTTAGAGTTTAGGGTTTAGGGTTTAGGGTTTAGGGCGAACCTTACATGAACCCCTAGCCGCGAAGCCAAACCCCCAAGCGCAAACCAAGTACCCAAACAAACCCTAAACCCTAAGCCCTAAAACCTAAACGCCCTAAATCCTAAGCCTAAGCCCTAAGCCCTAAACCTGTAACCCCTAAGCCGTAAATCCTAAGCCCTAATCTCTAAACCCTAAGCCCTAAGCCCTAAACCCTAAATCCTAAACCCTAAACCCTAAGCCGTAAACTCTAAACCCTAAACTCCAAACCCCAAGCCTTCCGCACCCTCCGCAGACCTGTCCCATTCCCGACAGCCCAAGGCCCCAGACTTGCTTTTCTTTGGGTTCGTCTTCAGGGTCTGGGGTTTTAGGGTTTATAGGGGTTTATAGCGGTTTATAGGGGCTTATAGGGGTTTATAGGGGTTTATACGGGTTTATACGGGTTTATACGGGTTTATACCGGTTTATAGGGGTTTACAGGGGTTTGTACGGGTTTATAGGGGTTTATAGGGGTTTATAGGGGTTTATAGGGGTTTAGGGTTCTTGGGTTTGGGGTTTTTGGGTTTAGGGTTGGCAACGAGAGGTCTCGATCCAGCTGCTGTCCGAGTGGCTTCGCCATGGACGTGAGCTAGACGTCACTCGGACAGACTTGGAGGAAGCCCAAAACAACCCCAAACCCCAAACCCTATAAACCGCTGA